AAAAAAAAAACAAAAAAAACCTCCAAATTTTCCCGGCCCTGCTGCTCCCCGGCGTGCTGGGGGTGCGAGGCGGGGGGGCCAGGCCAGGCCTGCCCTCCCACGTGTCCCCCCACCCCAGGGAGGGGAGGACCTAATGCTTGTCTTGCCCCTCGATTCCCTCCGCAGGTGTGAGTGTCAGCCCACTCCTCCCATGCTTTGGCTCAGGAGTGACTCCAGGTTAGTTTGGCACCTACTGGTTGGGGGCTGCTTTCTGTCACTGGGGGGGTTTGGGGGCGGCGGGGGGGCCACAGGGGGATGGGAGAGGCCCCACGGGGCACCACGGTGCTCCACGGAGAGCAGAGGGGGAGGGCAGGCTCCCTCCATTCTTCTTGGGAGCCACACAGAGAGGGGATGCGGCCCAGGTAGGCTCGGAGGCAGGGGGGTCGCTGGCTGTGCCCCCCCCAAACCCCCCAGCCCTGTCCCGAGGGCAGAAGCAGCAGGATGAGGAGCTGCAGCAGCTGCGTGGGCTCCAGTCCCCCCAGTTCCCCCAGTCCTGAGGCCAAACTGGAACCCTTCTCTCCGTGGGGCGCGGAGAGGAGACATTCACAAGGGGAGATGGTGGCCGGGGGCGGGGGTCACAGCCTCGCTCCCTGCTCCCAGATTTGGGGTCCCTCCCTCGGGAAGGGAACCCTCTGTGCATGTGGGGCTGGGAGCCCCCCACGGCACCCGGGAGCGGCCGCCGGGGGTGGCCCCTGTGCTTCCCTGCCCGCCCGTCCTTGCAGGGCACTCCTCCAACAGCCGCATCGTGTGGGAGCACACGCGGGGCCGCTACTCCTGCACCCAGTGCCCCTTCTCGGCCGCCTCCCGCGAGGAGATGACCCTGCACATCGAGGACCACCGCAAGAACCCCCCGCCCGGGCGCCTGGACGCCGAGATGGGTACGGGGGGGATCCCCGAAGTGCCGGGATGCTCGCGGGAATGGGCGCGGTCTGTCCCGCAGGGATAATGCGGATCCCCCTCTCCCGGTCCCAGCTGGGGGTGACCAGCCCTGGGGTGGATCCTGGGCCGCAGCAATGCCCTGGGGGGGGAAAAGGGGTGTTCCTGTGCCCTCTCCGTGCCATCCAGCCCCTGGTTCCCCAGCCCATAGCAGTGCCCATGGGGGTCTGTGTGCCCTCCCTGTGCCCCCCAATCCCTGCATTGCCACAGGGGGTCCGTGTGCCCTCCCTGTACCCCCCCCCCAGCCGCTGCAATGCCCTGAGAGGGTTGTCCGTGTGCCCTCCCTTTGCCTCCCAGCCCACACCAATGACCTGGAGGGGTCTGTGTGCCCTCCCAGTGCCTCCCCCCCCACCCCCCAGCCCCTGCAGTGTCCCGGGGAGGGCCATGTGCCCTCCCTGCAGCCTCCAGCCCCCGAGCCCCCAGGGTACGAGGGGCTCCACGGTGCTGACAGCTCTCCCCCCTCTCCCTGCAGATTTCGGGGTGGGTCTCGCCTCCTTCCACGCCAAGCTGACGCCGGAGATGGAGAACTCCCTGTACTCCCAGCTCTGATGCCCCGGCTCCCACGGGACTGCTCCTGCTCCTGCTCCTCCCCGTCCCTCCCCACGAGCCGGGCAGGGGGCACCGCCCAGCCCCTGCCACTGGGCTGGGACAGGGATCCCTCCCTGGGCACCGGGAGCACCCCCAGCCCAGCCCGGGGTGCCAGAGGAGCGGGTGTTTCCTCTGGAATTTTCTCCCCTCCCTTTTATTTTCGGAAACTCTTAAGCACCCGGACCCCCTCGTTCTCCCTCCCCCTGAAGGTTTCGTTGCTTCAGCCCCCGTGGCTCTGGGGGGAGCCCGGTAGGTTGCTCAGGAGTTAGTGGACTTCTCTGGAATGAGACCTTGGAATAATAAATGGGAATTGTACAGGAGTGGCGGCCGGGAGAGGCTCTGTCAGTGCCTGTGGGGGCTGGGGGTGATGGGGGAGTGGGGCCACCCCTAAGGATGCCCCCCCAACACTAAAGGAGGGGAGATGGGGGGGATCCAGGGAGGTCTGTGTGTCACTCTGCTCTGGGCAGGTTTTGGGGAAGAGGAAGGCTTGAGGAAGGGGAAGGGGGTGCTCCCTTCCCCCTCTCATCTGCCAGCACGTGGCAGACCATGAAGGGCTCCTGAGAAGCAGAGCTGGAGCCTTTGCTGGCTGCATCCCAGCACCCAAACTGGGCACCCAAACTGGGCACCCAAACTGGGCACCCCAGCCCCCCGCCAGCCTCGGTGCCTGTGCCAGTCCTGCCACAGGCAGAGGTGCCAGGAAAAGGGCATGAACAACCTTTGGGGTGGAGCAGGGCGCCCATGCCCGGCCCTGAGGGGGCTGCACCCCCCCGTGGGAGCCCAGCGGCCCCACGTTCCCAGCCCGGGGCTCCCCAGGCCCCGCTTTGCCTGATCCCATCCCGGCAGGGTGAAAAGTTTGCTCCAAACTGGTTTGGGGAAGGCGTGTTGGGACATGCTGGGACGTGCTGGTGCCCACAGCGGCCCTGGGATGGGAGCCGTGGGAGCACCAACACCCCCTGCTCTGCACCCCAGGGTCGGGGGTTGCTGCAGCCCTGGGAGGGGACACAGCCCTGGGATGGGGCTCAGGGGGTCCCCTTGGCCCCCTGGCCAGGCTGGGCATCCCTTCCTCCTGCTGGGATCCCTGCACATGGACAGCAGCACCCTGGGATGCCCCAGCTCTGTCCTGCTGTCACCTGTGTATTGGGTGGGCTCATGGCATGGGGGGGCTGTGCCCCTGTGCCCTCCCCAGTCCAGCACAGACCCCCCTCAGCCCAGCCCTGAGCAGGGGGTGGGCACAGAGAAGTGCCCCTGAGCTGTAGCCGTGGCTGCTGAGACCTGACAGAGCAGCAACTCCTCACAGAGCCAGTGCAGGATCAATCAGCCCTGGCAAGGGGAGGGACCCCCCAACCCCCCAGAGTGGGGGGGGGGGGGGGACACTCTGGCACAGCTCCCTGCAGGCACAGGCAGCTTCCCTGGCCCCCCAGCTCACCCTGCCCTACTGAACACCCACATTCCTCCTCCAGGGCAGGTGTCCACCCCAAAAGGCAGCAGTGGGACCTCCTTCCCAACCTGTCCCTGACCCCGATCCAGCTACAGCCACCTCCGAGGGCAGAGAGGGCAGGTCCTGCAGGCACAGTCCCTGCCGGGACTCCACACCAGGATGGTCTGTGCCAACCCATAGCAGAGCCCATCCAGGGCTCAGAGCCAAACCTGGGGACACGGGACACTCAACTGCTCCCAGGGGAGGCTCAAACCCACCCCAAACCTCCCACTCCGAGCACTCCTGGCTGTTCCCAGGGCAGAGGCAGCCAAGACAACCCCCATTGCAATGGATTTTTAAAAACTGAAGTCTTTTATTAAAGTTTTATCCAAATTTTGTAACAAAAGATACAAAAGGGCTGGAGATCCTTATTTCTGGGACTAGTCTGACCAATCAAAACCTGACAGTTACTAGGCTAATATAAAATCCATACAATCTGCTAAAAATGCAGGGAAAAAAAAAATTAGAACTGCTGCTCTGACATTTCTTTCTTTCTTTTTTTTTTTTTTTTAAAAAAAACTCCTTAAAACATTTATAAGTTACTCAGTTTGCATTTTACAGGATTAGTTCTTCTCCGAATGGTTACAGCGACTGTACAATGCAAGAGACAACAGCGAGGACAAAAAGAGCGACGGGATGTGCTGCAAACACACACACACACCCCACTCCTCTGAGGGAAGAAGGGCTGGAGTCTCGGGATGGCCCGGAGCACCCACCGGGAATGCCACAAAGTGCCAGTGCGTGTCTGCACCCGTGGGAGCCCCGACAGCAGGACAGCAGTGACCCCCCACCCCCCACTCCACCCACCCAGCACCCAGCAGGGACCACCCCCGGGTGCCACAGGGCCAGTTCTCCCAAGGGATGTGCTGGCTGGACACCTCCAGGAAGAGGGAAGGTGGGAATGGGGTTGGGAACGCTCCTGGCTGGATCCCCCAAATCCTCCTTCCAGCGCCCGCGGGGTGAAGGGACACGGCCCCCCACACTGAGGGGAGAGCTGGAACTCTGCTCCGTGCTGGGAAGGGAGGAGGAGGAGGAGGATGCAATGCCAGGCTGTCCAGAGCTGGCACTGGCTGGCAGAAGGACCCTGAGAATTCACAGGCTAACACGGTCTCCGGGGAACGCCGAGTTAGGAGCATCACAGTGATAGTGGCTGTTCTGTACAGTGAGAAATGGAGTCTGATGGAAGTGCAGTATCCCTTCACCTGCATTTCCTATCCCTTCCCTGGAGGAGCCTCACCTTTTGTCGGCAAAGACAAAAACCTGACCCACCCGGACACCCAAGTGATGGTTTTTTTAGGTGGCCACTGGGAAAAATATTCCAGTTTATCAAATAAAATAGGAAAGCAAGTGCAGGGCTACTGCAAGGTGCAGAGTCAGAGGTACCAGGTCATGCAAGCAGCGCCCCCCCCCTCCCCTCCCCAAGACCCCCCCTCCCCAGCACTTAAAGCATCTTCAAGCATGTCCAGAGATCACATCACCATGATTTCAGATCAGAGACACCCTCAGGGATCGTTTTTGCTTCAAGTCCACGGAGATGAACCAGATTTTGCACCCAAGGTGGCTCAAGAGTCTTCAGAGAGCTGGTCAGAGGGATGGCAAAAGCCTTCAGTGCTGGCTGGGTGTGAGCTGGAGCTCTGGATCCAGTGTGGCACAGCTGATTTGGGACACAAAGATACCCTAAAGGAGATTTTTTTTTCTCTCTTTTTTTTTTTTCTTTTGGATTTTTTTTGTTGGTTTTTTGTTTGTTTTTGTTTTTTTTGCAAGCTGCTGCACAAACCACCGAACGGAGAGAAGCCTTTGGTCATGAGATATAACTTGTGAGAAAAAGTGAGCCTTGTATGGAAGATTCCCCTGAATGCCTACAGTATTCTAAATCTTAAAAAAATATATTGTGGACGCTGCAGCCATACAAAGGGGGGAGGAGGAGGAGGAGGAGGAGGAGGAGGAGGAGGAAGAGGAGTGGGAGATGGGGATTTACAGTCTCACATAGACACAACAGGGAGGTTTAAGACAAGCACAGTCAGAGTCTGTAAAACTGATTGGCTCGCTGGGCTCAGTCATCCTCATCGTCCTCTTCGTCCTCTGGGTCTTCCTCTCCTTCATCCTCTAGACTTCGTTTTCTCTTCTGCCCACACGGATGGTCTGCAAAGAGAGGCCAAGGGTGAAGTTCTGCCCAGCCCCTGGGGAGCAGCAGCTGAGCTGTGGCCACACAAGGCACGGCTGGGAGCAAGACCAGCACCATTCCAAGGCAGAGATCCACCCTGCCCTGCTCCTCGTGGCATGTGGAAAAGCCCGGGATGGCAGGAGACATGAACTACTTTCTGTGCCCTCTGATCATCCCACATTTCAACAGCTGCTGGAAAAGAGGTTTTGTTTTTTTTTTTTGTTGAGGGCCCTCCAAAATGCAGCATCTGCAGAATTCAGTCATTTCTAACCGAGTTCATGTGCCCTGTGCTGGACACTGGCGGGGCCTCAAATCCCAGGGACAGTTCTGGGTTCCTCGTGACCAGAAGGACACTGAGGGGCTGGAGCGTGTCCAGGGAAGGGAATGGAGCAGCTGAGGGAGCTGGGGGGGCTCAACCTGGAGAAAAGGAGGCTCAGGGGGGACCTTCTGGCTCTGCAACTCCCTGACAGGAGGGGGGAGCCGGGGGGGATGTTGGTCTCTGCTCCCAGGGAACAAGGGACAGGAGGAGAAGGAACAGCCCCAAGTTGCACCAGAGGAGGTTTAGACTGGAGATTAGGGAACATTCCTTCAAGGAAAGGGTTGTCAGGCGCTGGCACAGCTGCCCAGGGCAGTGGTGGAGTCACCATCCCTGGAAGTGTTCAAAAACAGGTGGATGTGGCACGTGGGGACATGGTTTAGAGGTGAACACGGTGGTGCTGGTAATGGTTGGACTTGGTATTAGCAGGGATTTCCCAACCTTAACATTCCATGAGTCATCCAGGATCGTTTGAATTCACACAGCGGCCACAACATTCTGTCAACACTCATTTGGGTGTTTATATTTGTTAAAACCAGAAGAGTCTGGACTCAGGAAGTTCAGGTCTGCAGCTGAAATGGTTTTCTAGGCAATTTGCCTCAAATATTTGGCAGAATGGTTGGAATTAGGAGGTACTGAAACCTGTTTCCCATTCCCTTTGTGACCCTTGGTGATGACACCACTCAACATCAGCTTGGGCAGAAAAGCTGCAGCAAGAACAGCCCTGCACTGAGGCTTGGGGAGCTCTAAAAACACCAAATATTTGACTGTTGAGGCAGCTTTGGTAAGAAACTGGTCTGTTAGGATTCAACTCACCATCTTCAGCTTCATCCTCTTCATCCTCCTCACCATCTTCCTCCTCATCTTCCTCCTAGAGTGAAAACAAGGCATTTTGTTGCAAGAACCACAACTCCCTGAGCTGTAACTCCACAGCAACCTCTGCTCCCACCCCACTGAAGCCTCAAAATGCCAGGGAGAAGCTGCTGATTCCCAAATAGCTCCTCAATCCTTATGGATGGGGCTGCACTGCTTCATCACTTGGGGCCATGGGAAGCAACAGGACAAGCCTGAGCTGGAAAACTCTGGAAAACCAGGAGTCAAAAGGTGCAAGGAAAAAGCCAAAGGGGATAGCAAACTCCTCAGATCTGCCCTCAAAGTGACACTTGGGTCACCAGACAAGGGATAAATGCGTGACCAAACAGCCTGGTGACAGAAAGCCTCACCTCATCATCTACTCCATCCTCCTCCTCTTCACCTTCCAGGTCATCATCTTCATCTTCTTCATCATCAATGACTTCTTCATCCAAATCATCCTCCTCCTCATCGTCGTCCTCTTCCTCGCCTTCTACCAAAAGCAGAGGGAGGGAAGTGCTCCAGTCCCCAAATCCTCGCCACCCCCAGACACTCTGCTCACCCCTCAGCAGCAAGCAGGGATCACCCAGGACAAGGAGGGACAGCAACACCCCTGTCAGCCCCCAGAAAACCCCTCTGGAGGAAGGAAAGGGGGTACCCAGACAGCCCCTACTCAGTGCTCGTCATTTATGGGGCAACACGGCCCTCGCAGAAGCAGAAAGGGGGTCGTTCCCCAGCAAGAAAACCAGGAGGAGAGAAAATCCTCACCTTCCCCATTCTCATACTCATCTTCCAGTGCATCCCCATCTGCTTCAGGGTCTGAGTCAGGGGCTTCCTGCTCGTCAGCATCGAAGCCATCCAGGTAGGTGAGCTGGGGCAGGAGGGCGAACACGCTCTCCCGGTAGTTGATGAGCATCGTCACCTCGCAGTTGAAGAGGTCCAGACTGTGGAGGTTGGGCAGCTTTTTCTGCAAAAATCAATGCATTAACATTATTTGCAGCACTGTTTGGAGATCAGGCAGCCGTGGGAGGACAGTGGCTCTGCCCCACGTGCTCCTCAGACAGAGGGAAGTCGCTGCCCTTGCTAATCGCGGGCACAGAAAATTTCTTTCCAGCTCCTCTGTTCTAGTTCCCCTCCTTGGAGCCAACTCTGAAACCATCTGCAAACCTTTCTTTCTTCTGAACAGGCACAGAAAGCCCAGGAATCCCTGAGCTGGACTCATCCTGCCCAAAATATCATGCAAGATACCCAAGAGCAGAGCACAGGGAAGAGCTGCAGCCCGAGTGCCCTCGGCACAGCCCGGCTCAGGCCATCCCACCAGGCACCAGGTCAAGGAAAGCAGGAGCAAAACAGTGCCAAATTCCTTCTGGAGGGGATGGATGGACCAAACAGCCAGTGAGGCAAATGCCCTGGATCAGATCTTTCCTGTATCCCTCAGGATCACACGACAGGAGCCTTCTTGGGGCAGTTCAGATGGAACCTCAGAGGTCTTTTCCAACCTGGCTCCGTGACTCCGTGACTGGGAGCCCTTGCAATGCTGTGGCAGCAGGAGGGTCCCAGCCCAGCAGAATCTTTAGGCTGATGTGACAGATGCCCTGACTGGTGTCCAAGTACCTCATTCCATGACACCCCAGGTGCCACCTACCTCCAACTGCCTCCGACCCTCTCCCGGTCCTTTCCCAGATGGACACTTGAGCATCCACAGATTTACTCATCCAGCCCAATTTCACGCTTCTTTTAGCAACTGGCTGCTGGTTTTCCAGACTGAGGAGCCATTAACTATTAGCCCAGCCTCAAACTGGGCTCAAATCTGTTCCCATCAGAACCACGAAGTGCTGTTGGAACAGTTACCAAGACGTTGGATTCCTGCAGCACAGACCCAGCTCCCCAAAGGAATTCCAGCCCGGAATCTTCACTCACCAAGGGCTCCAGGGTATTGATGTCTTTGATCTTGTTGCCACTTAGATTCAAGTGTGTCAGGTTGGGAGTTTTCTCTGCTAGAACTTCAAGGCCACCAGAAATCCTGTTATCACTCAGCTCCAGCTGCCAGGGGGGAACATCACATGGTCACCAAGTGTTTCAGCCCATGACGTGGGGGAGAACATTGCCCTGAGAACTGGGCCACAGTGAGCACCCCAATGCCAGATCCTGTCCCAGAGCAGCAGGTCAAGTTTTGCCTGGACACCCCTTTCCTGCAGTGACACAGAACTGCCCCAAAATCCAAAGTATTTGTGATGTTATGAAGCTTCTGACAGCAAAAGGAAAAAAAGACACTCAGCACCTAAAGAGCTCAGAAGCATCTTGTGCACTCAAACCTGACCCCTCTCACTTGCTCAAAGAGGGAAAAAGCAAAATTAAATGGACTTTTTTTATTTTTTTTTTTTGGTAAATACAGGGAAAACAAGTGTCACCAGAAGTCTCAGAGCAAGGACTGCTGGAGATGGGGCCACAGGCCTGACTCACCTTCCGGAGCTTGTTGAGTTTGGGGAGGTTGGACACAGACAGCAGGTTGATGTTGATCATGCTGAGGAACTCCAGGTTCTCGAAGTCTGAGGAGAGACCGACCACCTTGCCATCCTCCGAGCGACAGTTATCCAGCACCAGCTCCTTCACCTGCCAACAGAGACACCCACGGTGTCACCTCCCCGGCCAAAGTGTCACCTGGGGTCTGTCAGGTGACATCAGGCTGTGCCTGAAGCTCCTCCTCACTCAGATGGAAGGATCTTGGGAGCCAAAGAACTGCAGGGAGGGCACAAGGTGAGGATCCCTCGTGGCGGTGGGAGCTTCACCCTTTAATCACGAGCCACCAACACGTGACAGCTGCCCCCACCGAGGTCCCCCTCGTCCATGAGGCAGCACCCAGGGGTGGGGCCACGAGTTCACATCAGAACACCCCGTGCAGAAGCATCAATAAGCTTTCAGAGCCCACGCTCCAGGCTTCGCTGACGAGAGGCCAAACAAGGTCATCTGGTTTTGTCCCCTTCCATGTTCTCCCCCCCCCACCACTGGGGTGCTGGAAAACCTGCCCCTGAAGGATCTGCTTCCCTGTGACAGCCTCCACGTGAGGTGACAGGTTCCAACCTCAGGCTCGTGGTGCAGGGCCACTGATGGCATCTGATGCTGTGCCCAGCACGGATCACACACAGAAACCATCATCACCCAGGAACTCCACCCAAAAATCAACCTGTTTGTGCCACCAGGACCTTAAAGCACCAGCACAGAACTGCTCTCCCCTAAACACTCAGGGGTAAAACTTCCCTGGCACCCCTTTCTCCCCCTGAAGAGTAGGTGAGTGATGCTCCAGCCCCAGCTCTCACAAGCCACTTCCAAAACCTGCTTTTACCCCACACATCCTTCACAGCAAGATGCAAAAATGAGCCTTGGCCAGAAGGCTCGTGGCGCTTTCCAAATTCCTCCTTCGCAGTGCTCCCATTTTCCCTCCCCTGCTCACACCAGCCAACTATTAGGGAGTCATTTTAAATTCACTTTGCCTTCCTGGAGGCAGTTTGGGGGCTGCTGTGCCATCTTTGCCACCTTCGCAGCATAAGCTCTGAACCAGCTAATGCTTAAAACTCCCCAGGTGGCATCAGCTGGGCAGGGTTTGGAGCTGAGGCTCAGCCAGGAGTTTTGTAGCTGAGCCTGTTTTGCTCCCAACACCCTGGAAGTCTCCAGCAGAATCAAGACTGTCCCCGTGGTGGGTTTAAAGGTGGTCAAGGCCAGACCCGGGTGGCTGTTGTATGGGCACAGAGGTGATCCTGAACTCAATCAGGTTACCATGGAATGGTTTGGGTGGGAAGGAACCTTAAAAACCATCCAGTGCCACGCCCAGCCATGGGCAGGGACACCTTCCCCTATCCCAGGGTGCTCCAAGCCCCGTCCAACTTGGCCTTGGACACTCCCAGGGATCCAGGGGCAACCACAGCTGCTCTGGGCAACCTGTGCCAGGGCCTCCGTGAACTCTGAACTAACGCGGCCAAGACCAGGTTTAACCCAGGCCGGGCCCCGTCCTGATGGCCCAGGATGAGCCGCGGCAGGACAGAGCAGCGGGGAGGGCTTTGCTCCCGGGACACCCCGCTCTGACCCCGCTGGCTCTGCAATTCCCGGCTCACACGGCCGGCACCAGCCGCCCGCAGCTCCTCCCGCTCAGCCCTTCCCGTCCCGCAAATCCCTTCCCCATCCACGAAGCCGCTTTAATCCCCACCCAAAGCTCCGCTCACGGGCCCCGTTTCCCTCCTCTGCTCGGGGGCTTTCGGAGCTGCCACGACACACGAGAGTGTCCCGGGGAGATCCAGGGAGAGGGCAGACCCAGGGAGAGGGCAGATCCAGCGAAAGGGCAGATCCAGCGAAAGGGCGGCCAAGGCATGGGAAAATCCAGGCAAGGGGCGGCTCGCGGGAGGGAAAATCCAAGGAAAGGCAGATCCACGAGATTAGAAGATCCAGGCGAAGGGGCGGCCCGACAATCGAAAAGATCCAGGGAAGGGGCAGCCCGGGCACGGGAAGACCGAGCGAAGGGGCGGACGGAAAGATCACGGGGAAGGGACGATCCAGGGGGAGGGAATATCCAGGGGCAACGAAAGTGCCGGCCGCGGGGCGGCCCCGCAGCGCCAGGCCCGGCCCGGCCCGGCCCGGGGAGGCCCCTCCAGGCGCTGCCCGTGCCGGGGGGGATCCCCGCGGGGCTCTCCGCGGTGCCGGGATCGAACATGGCCGAGCGCCGCCATGGCCGCGGGGAGCCTGCCCAGCCCCGGCGCTGCCGCTCCGCCGCGGCGGGCCCTGCCCTGCCCTGCCTTGCCCTGCCTTGCCCCGCTCCCCCCTCGCCGTTGCGGGTGAGGGCCGTGCCGGGCCGTGCGGGGCCGGGCGGGTCCCCGGGGCCGTGCGGGGGCCATGCGGGGCGGGCGGGCCCCGCCGCGCACGTGCGCGCCGCCATGGCGGGGCCGGGGCACGGCCGGGAGCGCTCCCGCAGCCCCTTCGCTCC